AACCGTTTTCCCGCCCAGTGGAAATTAGGATTGAATCCGCTAATATATATATATATATTTATACTTATATGTTTATATGTATAATTACATGAAAACAGCTACTACTGAAATGTGGCCTGGAAGTTGAAGATTTTTAAGATTTGGAATATTTTCAAATATCCTATCAGTTCAACTGGACTAGATGTTGGTTTAGTAGTTTCGAAAAAATCTTCGGTTACACTGAAGTGCAACAAAAGATGAGATTACAACATTTGTTCTTTTATGAGTTTTTATCTCTACAAATTATACTTGATGGGATGGTGCAGGTACGTGCTTTCAGTTTTCAGTGACGCGACAAAAATTGGGGATTTTATTTTCTGCCCATTTTGCTTTGCCTTGAGCACCGTGATTAGTGGGTTTTTTGGTGTTTGCAACTGGGGCAAGACGACATAAAGGATATCTGTATTATCAGTGGTTTTGACTGCGTGAAAGAAAAAGGAAAGCAGTGATTTGGAATATTATGTGCCTAAATATGAACAATAAAGTCAATAAATAACTTATATAGTTGATTACGTCAAAAGTGTTACTGGCTTATTGCAGGAACTTTTCTTAGATACTTCAGGAAATGCCGTTGCATCTGCTTGTATGACGCCGTTATGTTCCATCTAAAATTTGATCCAAAAAATGCTGATAGCTGGGGTCTGTTAGGTATTTGGTGTTCAAAAATTTGTGCTTTATTACCGCCTTAGTATTCAGCCGCTCACTTTGGCTACATAATGAAATTTGGGATATCCGACGACCGCATTGATCCTAATGGTCGCCTATATTCAGCCGATGTGAATCATCTCTTAGAACGTTGATGTGGAACCGTTTATATGTTCGGACAGACACTTCTGTACGAGGTGTACTCAGAGTTTCGAATGAGTGAATATCGTTGCTCATTTAATATGATGAGTTCCAGTATCGATTAAATGATTCCCCAATGTGCACGACGATCAGCGGTTTGATTATTGTTATCCTACTTGCTTACTCCAAGAACTGCAAAGACAATTATGAGTAATCGACATATTCAAAGAGGTTGACAGAAATCAGTACCCATTTTTGAATACATATGCACCACTGGTGTGTGACTCATGAATTTTTGGCTCTTAATTCCAGTCGAATGCGTGTCTGTGTTTAAAAACAATCATCGAAAAATGTTTCGATCTCTAGGACGCTAACTGCTATCGTATTAACCGGACCACAGTAGATTCTGACTGTTATTTAGTGCGCAAGCATTTTTCTCTTAATTGTACGTGATTACTCGGTGACTTGGTATGCAAAATATTCCTCCCAGCGGTTTTTTTTGTTCATTTTTAAACACTTGGCTTTTGATTTTTTTCTAATTCGATGAATGTTCTCAACTGTAGTTGCGTGAATCAATGTTTCTCTTTACATCCGTTCTACTTTATTTAGTATGGTGAAGGTTAACACATTTTTCGTTCCTATCACTTAACTTTTTTTGTTCTTCGTTATTGATTTTTGAAATACTTTTTTTCTACGGTCATACGTGTTCGGACGACCGCATATTTGATGTTTCAAAGTGGTACATATGCCAGAAATAAGTGCACTCATTGTTTTTAGTACGTATAATTTTTTCTGAAATTTTAGCAGACGATGGCGTCAGATATTATTATTGACGAGACAATTGATGCAGAGGATTTACTCGTAAGTTTTTATTCCCATTTTACAAGATGAAACTAACCTTTTTCAGTAATTTTTCTAATGATAAACCAGCTAATGCATCTGTAATCTCGAGCACCAGGAGTCCCACGAAAGTATGCTACTTGTTATCATTGTTATTTTTAGAATTTCTGTTAATTATTTTTGTGGCTCTCATG